AAAAAAAAAAAAAAAAAAAAGGAAAAGGAAAAAATTCGATCGATCCCCTCATCTTTTTTCTAATTCGAAAATATAAAATTTTCAGGGTGACTCGGGGGGGCCTTTAGTCACGAAGAATGGTTTCGGTGAAGCGGAGGTGGTGGGAATAGTTTCGTGGGGTTTGTTCCCTTGCGGAAGGAAGAACGCACCCTCCGTCTACACGAGAGTTTCCGCCTTCATCACGTGGATCGCCATAATCATGTTAAATTATTCGTAAATCGATTACGAATAAGGATTAAGAATTACCTCAAGAATCATTGTTAACGCTTGTCTGTTTTTTATTCAATAAATAATTTCCGTTTTCGCTCATCTTATTTCCTACATACACAATTATATTATAAAATATAATAATTACAATGTACATATACGTATCGTGTATAACATATGTATAACTATTGTTATTTATACAACTTGCGCTACGATTCAACGAATTACAAAGATTTGCAAGCTTCCGTGACGACCATAACCGCGGCCAACGCTTCCTTGGCCGTTGGGATAATGTAACGAGATGGTAGAACGAAACCGTACTTTCCGGTATCCCTTAATTCGATCGTGTACGTATATTTCATCTTCAGGATGGCCTTCGCCCAGTCGTCGGAGCCACCGGAAGCCGCGTACAGCGTCGTGGCGCTGTTTCCAACCGTGTAAGCGCTTCTCGCCTCGTCCGCCTTCCTCATCGCCGTGGACACTTGCTTTCCAACGCTGTCGAGATCCGCGTAATCAGGCGGTACCCGTTTGTCGTAGCCCCAAGGGTACAAGACGTATTGGCCGTAACTATGGAACGTCAGATATGCCTGGATACGCGATAAGTAAGTAATCAATTATTATATCAGAATTGAAACAATTTGAAACGAATACCGGTTAAATGATGAATCAATGGTTTAAATTCTCACTTTAAAATTGGCGGAACTGGCTTCGAAGAAATATCGAATGGCGTTGGTTTCCGGTTCGGAGAACGGGCCTGACCCCGCGTAAATTTCCCGACAAGGATCTTTGCTTGTTCCCAGGCCACCCCATCGATAGCCGAAGTTCCGGTTAAGATCGACACCGGTGCACAGACTGCCCACCGAACGTTTCCTGTTCTTTCTCCATAAACGGTCTTTCGTAAACGTGTACTCGTACCTGCCGACGGAAGCAAGAAACGAGAGTCGATTAACCGTGGCTTTTTGTACGACGTACGTGCAGATACGTTGCGCGATATATTTCAATTTACCCATCAGGATTCACAACGGGGAGAATATAATAATCGGCCTCGAGCGTCTCGCTATTTTCAACCAAGTGATTGATAATGTAAGTGACCGAGGCTGGGGAAATCCATTCTCGAGCGTGAATACCTCCGTCGATCCACAATGCCGGGGAATTTGATTTTCCGTTGCTTATTCTTATAACCTATTATTTTTTTTTTATCGCATTGCTGATATTTTTGTTTTTTAAATCATTCGTAAAAATACATTCCTTTTTTTATCGTACGTATCGTACCTTGAGAGGTCTTCCTTCGACGGAATGACCGATGGTGACGACAGAACAAACGTCGGGGAAAGTATCAGCCAGGTAATCGAGGTATCCGTGAATGTCCTCGAGTCGGTGATAACTGGTCCATTCCATTCGATGACCTGACGGGTATACCTTCAAGATTATTCAGAGGTTGCACGTTCGGTGTCCTTGGACGACGCGTGAAAATATTCCGCTCCGTCGATTCAGAGACGTGGATTCGAATCGGATTAATTGATGTCCGATTGATTGATTTTTTTTTGGTCAACATGAATAAATTCAATGTTCGAAATAAGATCAGAATTATTCTGAATCGACGAAGCGGGTTATGCGCGCAAGAGCCTCACCCCTAAATTGCCAAGAGCCACCGACACCGTACACGCTAGTTACAGGATAACGAAGAGGACGAGGACGTGAATATTTACTTGGCCTGATCGCGACTCTCTGCCACCAAGCGTAACGAGCTAGAAAATTACTAAAAAAGCTCAGTATTCAATAGTATATTTATGGCCTTAGTTAGTCGTTCAAGTTTATCGTGAAAGATTGTACGATATTTTGCTAATTAATGAAATGTAATAATGAAAATGAATTTTTCGATTCGGAAGCAGTTGTATAATAGGAAGGTAATTGTATCAAGAAATATCGTTGGAAGAAAATCTGTCGAGATTTTCAAGTGATTTATTTATCGAATGTTTTAAGATTGTAATAAGATTCACTGACCAAGAGTTCTCGTTTTCGCTAACTTTCGAACCGGCCCAATTGCCAACGCGCATCTCGACGACTGTCTGGGAGCAAATAACGGTACCACGATCGAAACAACAAAATCGAAAACGTCTTTGGTACGAATTGGAGATGCGCGGGCACACGCTAAACGTGCATAACTGTTAATGTTAATCCACATTTGTCGACCTATCGAAACTAGGTTAACGGGTTAAATCGCGACGAGGGCAATAACCTGGTAAACTTTCCATCGAAAACAGCAAGTGTTTTTTTTTGATGACGCTGAAAAAAATCTTTTTACCAAATCCAAAAGTAAGCGTAGCCAAGAAGCGAACGTTTGGAGTTTCGAATTGAAAACATAGAAGGTATTAAAATGTCGTTAATCAAATAACGATTTCACGCGATTATTCCTGAACGAATGAAAAACGACGATAAAATACGCTTATCGAAATCACTTTCGAATATACCGATGACTTCGAATATACCGATGTATATGAATGACGTTCTCGGCTTTCTTCGCCGCGTGACTCGAATACGCGATAACTCTTTAAGTGAGTGAGTCGTCAAACGTCATCATTCGTGTCAGTGGAACAAATAAAATAACAAGCGAAACATCGTTTCACTGTTGAATCGTAATCCTGATGAGCGAAATCGATCGTAAAAGCGTCGCGGTTGCTGGTAAATGGCGATGATTTTTGGATGAAATAAAAGAGAAAGAAGAAGTACCAAGCAGGAGGAAAGCGATGGAATTGCGATGATCAATGAAATATCGTTGGTGCAAACCTTTACGGCCTTGCAGTTCCTCCATCTCTTGCTCGGAAAGCGATGGATTTTCCTCGTCTATCGCTTTCTGCAAATCCTCGATCATTATCCGATAGTTCAAGTCTTTTTCTTTCAAGTAGCGAGACACTCTTGAAATTTCTTCTGAACGTATCATTACGTCTACTGCTGTGTCGTTGCCGGCCCATAATGACAGTACTGTACAAAGAATAGAAATAAAAATAAGAGAATTATTTTTATCCTCGATCTCTCACAACTTATCTTGTATAAATTAATTTTAAAAACAATCGATCGAATTTTAAAAACTATCGATGGATATTCACGTCCAATTTTTAAATTAAAACTGGATACGATTTTTTTTTGGAAAAGTTCCATTCACTTTTAAACTTTTCTCTTAAATTATTTTAAGAGAAATTACGAAAAACTAAACTCTCGATTTAAAAATTCTCTCTGAATGGGCGAAAAATTTACGAACATCCAGCTTCCTGAAAGTCCATGGTGACGTTCGACACTATGTCCTTGTGCCCTTCCACCCTCCAAACCTGAGCACCATCGTAAGTTACTTTGGCATCCCTCACTCTGACCGCTCTTTGAATCGTCTTCGAGTTTTCCTGGGCAGGCTCGTCCACGATCTCGATCCAGTCGGGGATCACGAATTCTCGTTTCTGACGATCGACCACCGCCGCCGCCTCGGCAACCAGGGCAACGACAAAAAGAAAGGAAAACGCGATGAAGCGTGCATTATGTGATCGACCGGTCCTCTCCATCGCGAACAACTGTCCTTGGATCGACAATAGTCCCTGCTTTTATAATATTCGAGCCGGTCGACGATCGGGAGTAACGGGACTTAACGAGCTCGCCTCGATCCTTCTCGATCGTGGGTCGTTTCGAGGATCTTTGACCCCATCTTTGAAAAAATTGAAATATATTTCCGTGAAATTCATCAATCGATGAATTTTTATCTATCACCGTGCATCCAAAATTTTTGATATTCATCATTCGATGAGATTTCTCGATCCGTTCCGAAATTGAGATCGAGAGTTTTAAAGATTAAAAATTAAAAATAACGAAACGTATAAAATCAACTTTAACGATTACGTAATACGATAACACGCTAGATAATTAATTTTACCAGGATTTTATCAATATTTAATGACACTTATTGTTACAAATTTTATTGTAACTAATGTTAACGATACGTAGTTATTTCGTCACACGAATTTGAAACAGTATCAACGTGGTTTCAATCAAGGAATATATTCCGCGCAAGCGTCCTCGTGCTCGTTCGGTCATCGCGTGGTGCTTCTGATCGCATTTAAGTGCGGGTTGAATTATGAAGCTGCAACTATCAGGGGACACGACTCATTCTAAACGCAATCGTAAAATCATGAAGATTCTGTTGACGATAGCCTGCCTGGTCGGATTGGTCGCAACTTTCGAGGTATCGTTTCGAATTTAATATTGAAAATATCACTGATACAATTGCGTTTCAATTTCGTACCGTTATCTGAAAGAAAATCGTCGCGAGATTTCTGTATATATCGTTTAGTGATAAAGAATGAATAAGAGAAAATAGGAAGGACGAAGGTTGGAATTTGGAAATATAATTTCTATAATGAGGTTGAAGAAATTCCATTTTTGAGATACCAAAAGAATTGGAAAAAGATGGAAAAGTGATATGAAGTGATTAAAAAATCGTTAAAAATATTAAATGGTGATTTTCTGATGAAATTCTGAGGAATGAATTTCCATCAATTACGAAAGAAATGAAAGAGGATCGAAGTACGTCGTTTCGTGCTTTTGTGGACTACATAAGGTTTCCTTCATCTGCTTAATAGTTATACACGTTCGATTCTCGACAATTCTTGGCGAGGACGTTAGAATAGCGTGAAACTTGACGTGCGTGAAAGTCGTGGAAATTTAGTCAATGAGAATTATTCACGACACATCGTCGAAATTATTCCGTCATCTCATTTCTTCGATTCACGATTAAACCACCATTCACAATTTTTATTTGTGAATTATTTGTGATTCATCGATTGACGATTAAGCAAACAATACTTAACGATTAATTTTTTTATTCTCTCTTACTGACTTGTCAAATTTTATTCCAGAAAAACAATCTCACTGTAGTCGACCAGGTGTATCTGGACATTATGATAGACGATCATCCAGTGGGAAGAATCGTCATAGGGTTATTCAGTGATATCGTGCCTAAAACTACGAAGAACTTTCTCACTTTAGCCACTACAGGGATTGGAGGAAAAACTTATAAGCATAGCACGTTTCATCGAGTGATTAAAAAATTTATGATACAGGGTAATTAAATAATTGGAATTATTTAACAAAGGTAGAAGCATTAGTTTAATTTTCGTATCTTTTCAGGTGGAGATATAGAGAATGGAGACGGTACCGGATCGATTAGTATCTATGGAAAAACGTTTGACGACGAGAATTTTGAGATTGGTCACAATGCACCCATGTACGTGAGCATGGCGAATGCCGGAAAGAATACGAATGGATGTCAATTCTTTATTACGACTATTCCTACACCCTGGTTAGATGGGAAGCATACTGTGTTTGGAAAGGTAACGAGAAAATATGTCGAGGATGCAGAAATTTTTATTTTTATTTTTATTTTTATTTTCTTGTAGGTGATCGAAGGCGAAGATGTAGTTTTTAAGATCGAGCAGACGAAAACGGATGCTGATGACGTGCCGATTAAACCCGTGGTTATCTTCGAATGTGGTTCCATACCTACCCCATCTCCGTTTAAAGTGGATGACAATATTTACAAGTAAATCGATTAATTTTTTTTATAAAATATCGCAGTAGAAGAGTCTTTTAAGTATTTATTAGTCTTTATTAGTTATAATTTTTTAATTTTCTTTTAGAAATGTATAAATTTAAAGTATATATATATATGAGCTTCACTGTAAATCCTAGTGTTGAATTATATCTTGTAGAGAAAAAATGCAGTAGAAAAGGATATAGTATAAGAAGTAGAAGGTATGTAATTGATTTATAAAAAAATATAAATTTAAAATGTATTAAAATTAAATGTAATTTCGAATAAGTACGACTTTTAATCGATTAATGAATTATAATAAATATTTATCTCTTAATTTCCAGTATCTGGGCATGGATAAAAGCAACATCTATACCATTAGGTTTCAGTTTCTCGGTCCTGGCTGTGTTCCATTATATGATGAAGAAACTAGACGTGTAATTATAATATATATAAATTTATTTCAAAAACAGAAGGTTCAGAAGGATTCAAAAAATTATGCTTATAATGGAGGTACGAGAAGTAATGAGAAAAACTATATTTCGTAATTTTATAGTTACTGAAAGGGAAAGAAAAAAAAATCACAAGAACGAATTATTATCTCGAAATAAAACTTTCTAAAACTAAATCATAATTTAAGACACGAGCAACGAGAATCGTAAATTAATTCTAGGAAAATGCATTTCTCTTCTTTTTATAATGTTTCGTCCATTCATATGTATCAAGACGCAGTCGCCATCTGGTAAGGAATCGATTGTACTAATCCATTGAATTTGCAAGGAACTTTCAAATACTTACTCCCGTGATTTAACACTCGTTATTTAACATCTCCACCATCATTATTGAATCCTGTTAATGTAGAAGTTCAAAAAATAACAGGAGCAGAACTATGCTACGATCTAAACTCACCTCCATTCTTTTTTTCATAATTTTCCATCCTTATTTGAAACCTCCTCCACAGTTCTAACATCCTGTTAACTTGCGAGCAAATAACAGGAGCAAAGGTAAGTTATAAATTAAAATTGGTATTCTGACTAGAGTATCTTTCTTGTCGTATATGATACCTCTACCATCGTTCTGCATTTCTGTTAATATCAGATGAAAATGACAGTAACTGGATAAATCGAATTGGTGTTCAGAACAGAATTTATCTTCCTTGTCTAAAACCTTCATTACGGTTCTACATTCCCAATAATTCATGCGATTTTTAGTTGAATTCCATATTCAGAGAAGATAATAAACGTGCTTTATACTTTATTGTTACTTCTCTTGCCTGGCTTGTGAATGGATGATATAAGAGGATAAAATGGAACAAGAAATTGGGAAACAAGATTTACATCTTACATTATTTATCTTTTTTAAATTTATATTTTTATTTCATCCAATCAAAAATTCAAATTTGATATTCACAACGACGATCGAATTCTGAATCGAGGAGTACAAATCAAATCAAAAATCTTTGAGTCTGATCCAAAAAATAAATTAATCCAAAACCAAGCCTCAACGATAAGATAAAACTAAAAACTAAAAATTAATACTTATATCGATCTAATTAACATCACACAAAACAACAATCATCTTCATACAACAAATAAATCGTAATTAAATAATTAAAAAAAATATATCATTTTATTAAAGAAAAAAAAAAAAAAATCGGAATTAAAAAATTAAAAAAAATATATCATTTTTTTAAAGAAAAAAAAAAAAAAAAAAGAAGAAAATAATCTCCAAATATCGATGCAAAGATAATTCCTCCCTCACGTAACGACTCTCCGAATAGTCCGCTACTGTATACAGGAAATGACGCAAAAGATGTACGCAGGCGCGGACATTCTACGCCAGAGAACGGGCGTAGAACGGTTCAGTGTGTGTTGAGCCGGCGTTGATCGCCGTTCGTCGTTCGAGGCGTATCAATGTAATCGTGATACGTGCGGATGAGTCACGATTCCTCGCCAAAGAAAAAAAAAAGGAAAAAAGGAAACGTGCCTCGTGGGCGTTCGCGAATCGTTCCACTCGAGGATCACGTATCGTGGAGTGTATTTAAATCGAACGTTAAATATAACATTAAGCGAGGGGAAGATCGAGCGAGTGTGTGACAGCGTGAGATTTGACGCGTGTTGGAGCCGGGAGGCGTATGTTGCTCTCCTGGAAGTTCGATCGACGTGAACACAATTGGGAGAAGAATTGTCGTGAGGGATGCTTTGAGACACCGGTGGAGTGGTTTCATTCAAGGTGAGCGTGTTCTTCTTCCATCTGTCTCTCTCTCTTTCGACCCTTTTGTGCGCCGATTCGAGTCAGCTGATTATGCTTCGATGTGGTTGGTAGTTGAATTATACGCGTGTGTGGATTCGTATATACGTATACGTTATTCTGAGAATAAGCGATGATGGTACGTTCAACCCAAGTTGGATGGTTGGTTAAGGGAAAAAAATACATGGATGTGTGGGCGTGTGATTGATAGAATGAATTGGAGTGAATTTTTCATGTATGATGCATGGTATATAGCATATCGTTGGTATAGACAATAAGTTTGGAGTATAATACAGTAAGAAATTTTTATCCTAGATGGATTTTATAAGAATGGAGGACAGATGGAACTTGTTACTAGCGATTATTTATATAAAAAGATAAAGAATAGAAATACGAAAAAGTAGAGGTGAACTGTGAAAGAATTGGTCGACACACGTGTGATGACTCAGTCGTTGTTTATCATTTATTAAATTTAATAATAATCTTCGAAAATAGAATCGATGATCGAATGCCGTTGATTTATTCGCGTAATTTTTACAATGCGGAACTTGGCTCGTTCGCAGGAAACGCAAGTCGCTCGTAAAACGGTTGACATTTTGTTCATTTACGAGGTTCATTTGGCAAAGGTAAAGAAACGTCGTAAATCGAAGCAAATTTTCGAAACGAAATTCGACCGTAACGTTGTTTATTGCGACTCACGATTGGAAGATCGCCGGTACAAAAACAAATATGTGGATTCTCGAAATTTAGGGGCCGTCTCTTGTATATGCGATAAGAATGAATCATATTCGTTATGTCGTGTCTTCCTTCGTGTATATATGTCGACGAAGCAACGATAATACAATACATTATCGTCTCGCCGCATGAAGGTGTTTACAACGCGTATTTCGCCGTAGATAATTGACCTGTTTTAAATTAATATTAGAAAAGTATTTAAAATATTAGAAAATATAATCGATATTTAAACGATATAGTAAGCGATATAGTTTCTTACATTATTCAAATTTTTGTGTTACAATTATATTATATCTCATTCCCAATAAAATATATTGAAACAAAAGTTTAGATTATCGTTATTAAGAAAATTTTAATATTCGTATATAATAATTAATAATTGTTAATAATTGTTCGTAGGAAGATAGGGAAAGAACAACAAGATAGGAATATAAATTTCTATATAAATGAAAAAGGGAATAGGATTAATTGCAATAACACGGATTTAGATAAAACGTTTAAATAAAAGAAGAATGAAAAAGCATGGTTGCTTATCGAAACATCAGGAAACTCAACACGAATTATACTCATCCTGAAAGCGTAACGAGGGATGTGCACACTCCCTTAATCAACTCCTTATTGCGTGCAGCACGCACGTACGCAAGATGGGCACGCAATGCGCACGTTTCTTCTTAAAATTGGTATATGTATCCGAGAAATTTAATGGAATATAACAGCGGGAATCAAAGCGTGAGCTTTTTCAAAGGTAATTATTTCTAAAAGACTTCCTATACCTCGTGTTTCATGATTACATTTTCCTTTTTTTCTTCTTTTTTCTTTTTTTTTTTGTATTCTCCGAGTAGAAATTTAACGATCGTTAATACGTGTTTTCCATTAATTAAATAGAAACGAGAATGAGAAAGTAAGAATAGTTTTCTCGTCTTTGTCTCTTTATCACACATTTGAAAAGTTAATGAATGTCTTCATAAAAGAAAGACGATAACTGTCATGTGTTTTCATTCAGGAACGAGCCAGCCTATTCTGTATAACAAAATATGTTGGACGTTTTCTATGGAAGCTGAGTTAGTTTCTCATTCTCTTGAACTTTTCAGGCTAAAATTAAGCTCGGGATTCTGCAATACCTTCGTCATCGACATTGATTCCATGGACAACTGGCGAGTATTAATCGAACGATATTAATTTTACGAATTTGTCGTATATGTATATACAATTTCGTTTAGGTCTAAGATTAAAATTATAAAAATATTCTTTTCACCGGAGTTTAAATAAAGGAAATCATATCATATTCAATCACGAACCGCGTTGAATCACGAACCGCGTTATCTGTTTGCTCAATGGAAATCAATAAAAGATAAAACGTGATCGAAGTAATAGATATTCTCTATAAAAGTAGTGAAAGCGATGAAAATATGAAACGCATCTTCGATCGAATGTTTGATTAATATTGGCGCAAAATACACTTTTTTCTTTCTTGTATATATATATATATATATATTATAATACGAGTACATTGACCAAGTTGACGAAATGAAAGTAATTCGCAAGTGCAGCTGTAATTTAATTCGCGTAATGTTTCTCAAACCGGTTTAGAGTATGAATAAGACGTTCATTTTAAGTTGATTAAAATGCAGCTTCTCAACAGTGCTGAGTCGCTTAAGTAACATAAATGCACTTAATGCAAAATAGCGTTGATCTCTTTCTAAACAAAATTTCCCTTAGGTTTCGAGATTTCACGATGGAAATGTAATTTCTTTTAATTCAACTTAACTTGAAAATTGAAATAATACGTTTCAAAAAATTTGAAACGTACTTGAATTTTTTTCCCTCATGATTTCTCTCTGTTTTTTTAAATAATACTTATTCTTTTTCACTTTTATTAAATCGCGATTACAAATCTGTTGCAGAGGATTAGTAAAATTTCACCAGGTTTGGAGCATGCCAATTATCGTTGCCAGTTCTGTAGTATTTACACAACCTGTCGTTTTAAACACGTAGGTGTGATCATCGATCGCGTATCCTATCGAAACTTGGATATTTATAAAAACGAGGACGTTGTTCTTCCTTTTCTTTTTTAAGTCACGTGACAGATGAGGATGATCTTTGATGAAACAAAAAGAAAATATTTGCACAAGTTATACAGTATAATCGTACAGTATATCGTACTCTCGAAAGCAAGAATGCACGAAGCAAAGGTAATTCACCGCGAAAGAATTCGAATTTTTCTTGACGCAGATTGGAAATTCCTAACATGTCGCAATTTTATTTCATTATTTAAATTTCATTTGTTCGAGGATTTGTTTTTTTTTTCTTTTCGTTTCAATAATAATAAGATATTATTTTTCACTTATACAAGCGATTCGTAATACGATTCGATATACGTATAAAATGATATCGTATGTCAATGATATAACATGGATGACAATAAATTTTGATATATAATTACTCAATGTCAATAATACTTCCATCTTTTCATCTTTCGAGGAAAGAACGTTTTAAGAATCGCTTTATAATATATTAAATTCTTCATCTAGGTCAAATGATAAAATCTTATGCATAAAAAAAAAAAATCTTGCATTGTATACATTTATTGAAGGACTTCACGAAGAGGCGATCTCTATAGTTTGAGATAAATGAAAATGAACAGTCTAGTCGAGATGTTCAATGTCAGCACTATTGAAAATATAAAACTCGAGACAAGTTGAATCTTCTTTTTCTTATATTTCACAACGTTCCTCCTTCTTTTGGTATAATTCTGCATTAGTATCGAGTAGTACTAAGTAGCTTTTAGTAAAACTAAAAACAAATTGGACGCACCTTGTTCCCCCCTAGTTCAACCCCATATAATTTCTTGGTAATTAAATTGGGCGTGTCAGTTTTTATTGAAAAACATGCAGACCTCGAAGCATTTTCGTTTCTCGGAACCATTTGATAACCTCAAGCTTTTTCTATTTCCATTTTCATCGATCGTGAATAAACATGCAAATATTTCTTACCGAAATATTTGCTCAACGAGTA